GCTTCTCTCTTTTATATGTCAAAAGAGATTGACTTAAAACACAACCTAATCTTGTAGATTGAGTCCTGCCTCATTAACATAACTGTCTGTAACCTTGCCTCATTAACATCATAGAGGCAGGATTTACAAAACATAGGAAAATGACATCAGATGACAAAATGGTGAATAATCACAGAATACTGGGAATCATGGCCTAGCCAAGTTGACACACGTTTTAGGGAGACACAATTTAATGCATAACAGTATGTATATACCACATTCTGTTCAAACATTCATCTGTTAATGGACATTTGGGTTGTTTCCACCTTTTGGCTATTGTGAATAGTGCTGCAGTGAACAATTCTCTGTTTGAGTCCCTGCTTTTAAGTCTTTTGGGTATACATCTGGGAGTGGAATTGCTAAGTTATATGGTAATTCGACCAGAAAGGTCAGCAGCTTGAATCCACCAGCTACTCCTTGGAAACCCTATGGGGCAGTTCTACTCTGTCCTGTAGGGTCACTAGGAGTGGTAATTGACTCAACAGCAATGGGTTTTGGTTTTATGGTCATTCCTATGTTTAACTTTTTGAGGAACTGCCAAACTGTTTATCACAGAAGCTGTACTGTTTTACATTCCCACCAGCAATGCATGAGGATTCCAATTTCTCCACACCCTCACCAACACTTGTTATTTTCTTTTTTTCTGATAATTAACACCTAATACTTTTATAAAATGTTCTTTTTAACAAAAAGATCAGATCTTGGCAAGAAACAGTATCTGGGTAGAGATTAAGACCTTTGGTTTTTCTATTGTTTTATTTACTTGATTGTCTTCTATTTGCAGCAAGCAACACTAACTTTCTCCAGGGTCATGATATGTTTCGTTTCAGACTAGTTAACTAAAGAGGGAGTTGATTTAAACAAAAAGTGATTTTGTAAATGCTAACAGAGGTAATAGGAAATGTGGCAGAAATCATGACAGATACATAAATGACTGTGAAGGCAAAATGTTGGAGAGGTAGGAAAGAACGCCAACTCCGGAGTCACACAGACCTGGGTTCAAATCCTGGCTCCCCATTTGTCCACTGGTTGGGAGCAGGGCTGAATCCCTGTAATAAGCAGCCCACTCGGGGCCTTGGAGCTTGGTGGTGCAGGTAGGATAAAGCTCCCTGGGTCCTCTAGGAGCACCCTCCATCCCCCAAGTCTGCAGGAGCCCCAGAGGAGCCAGTGCGACCCATCTGGGGCTTGTTCCAGTAGATAAGGCCTGGGGACAGCAGCAGAGCCACTCCCCCGTAGCAATTACAAACACAAGTTTGGAGGCAGACAAGTGCATTTTCCAGTCCTGGTTCTGCCACTGGGGTGTGTGGCCTTGGGCATTTTCCTTAGTCTCTTTGAGCCTCAGTTTCTTCATCTACAAAATGAGGCTAATACATATGAGGGCCTCTTCCATAGGCTGTTTTGATCATTAAGTGAGGTAAGGTACAGAAAATGCTTAGCAAAGTGCCTGGCACATAGCATGCACCCAGTAAATGGGAGCCATCAAAATTTAATTTAATTTAATTTGGTTTCATTTAAACTAATTAAGTCATGAAGTCTGGGAGTTCTAGAGCCAGCAGCCTCTGTAGCCTCTCTAGTCAAGCCCAGAGCCTTGGCAGCATCCCCTGAAGAAGGAAAACTTCGCCCAGTGGTCATTTTTAATGCAAGGACAGGACTGTTAAATAGCAGGGGATTGGATAAGCCTGTTAGGTGAATAATTAAAATGATGTTGTAGAAGAATATTTAATGTCATGGACAGATGTCTAGATATATAAAAAGGGGAGGAAAAATTACACAAAATAGTGTGTACATATTTGGCAATAAAAAGAAATGGAGTATTGATACATGCTACAATGTGGATGAACCTTAAAAACATTACACCAAGTAAAGGGAGCTAGTCACAAAAGGTCACATGTTGTATGATTCCATTTATATGAAATGTCCAGAACAGGCAAATCCATGGAGACAGAAAGTAGATTAGTGTTTGCCTAGGACTTGTGGGAGGGATGGGGGTGTGATGATGATTGTATAACTCTGTGAATATACTAAAAATCACTGAATCGTACACTTTAAAGGAGTGTATTGTATAGTGTGTGAATTATATCTCAATAAAGCTGTTAAAACATTATGTACAGTATTGCTTCCTTTCTTAAAATTGAGAAATATATTTTAAAAATTATATATATATATATACACACACACACACACACACATACCTACATACATACAGGGGAGCCCTGGTGGCTCAGTGGTTAAGCGCTCACCTGCTAACTGAAAGGTCGGCAGTTCAAACCCACCAGCTGCTCTGCAGGAGAAAGATGTGGCAGTTTGCTTCCGTAAAGATTACAGCCTTGGAAACCCTATGGCGCAGTTCTACTCCGTCCTGTAGGGTTGCTGTGAGTCTGAATCAAATTGACGGCAATGGGTTTGGTCTGGTTTTTACATACATACATATACATATTAAAAAAAAACATTCATGGAGTCAGTTCTGACTCATGGCAACCCCATGTGTTACAGACGAGAACTGCTCCTTACAGTGGGAGTGTAATCTTTATGAAAGCAGATCACTAGTCCTTTCTTCCACAGTGTCACTGGGTGGATTTGAATCACCAACCTTTAAGTTAATAGTTGAGTGCAAAACGTTTGCACCACCTAGGGACCTTACATATACCAAAAAAAAAAAAAATAACACAAAACTTGTTGCCGTCAAGTCGATTCCGACTCATAACAGCCCTATACATGTACCTTAAAAACAAACAGACAAAACAAATCTGTTGCTGTCTAGTCAACTTCAACTCAGCAACCCTATAGGACAGAGGAGAATTGCCTCACAGGGTTTTCAAGGGGCAGCTGGTGGATTCAAACTGCCGACCTTTTGGTTAGCAGCCAAGCTCTTAAGCCACTGTGCCACCAGGGCTCCAAACACGTATACATATACGTATATGTATATAATATACATATATATATATATATAAAGACTGGAAAGCAATACAAATAAACCCATAATGATCATCTTAGGTGGTGGGTTTATGGATATTTTTTGTTCTTTTTACTTATCTATATTTTCTAAATTTTCTACTATGACTATGTACCGCTTCTGTAAAAATAATGAAAAAATTTTCTGCTTTTCTTTAAGAACAGTTCATTTTTGGATTTGAAAGTCAATCAAGTAAGTGCCAAAGTCACTTCCTAATCCTGCTAACATCTAAGTAGCTTCCTTTTAAGAGTTACCTCGTCCACGTGGAGTGGCACAGCAAACCTCTTGAGTGTGGGTATGGAGGTGAGCCTGGAGTTCTCCTCGAAGTCCTGGTTCAGGTTGGCCAAGTAGAAGAGCTGGTAGAGGCTGTTGTCCTTGTAGGCAATGACATCAAACAGTATGCAGCCATCCTCCTCGTAGGCATTGACGTGATGGAAGACAACCATGGGGTCTGTGTAATATTTGGTTACTACAGGCTTTCTAGTCCTCTGGTCAATGATGTGGATGTGAGTCTGAAAAGAAGGTGGACATAGAGCATTCAGCTCTCCTTCTGACAGCCCACTCGTGCCATCCCAATATATGGACTAAACCCAACTCTGCCATCCACCAGCTGGTGACCCTGGAATGCCCTTCCCCGTCTTGAGCTTTGTGTCCCACCTCAAAAATGCCAAACACCAAAGGCACTCAATAAATAGGAGCTGTTTATTGCTGCATTTCCATGATCATACCCTTGTGATGAGAGGAGGGAAGCTTTGCCACCTTGGTCTCTGGAGTGGCCATGAAGACAGTGTTTGGGGTGAGGGTGCACTGTCCCCTCATTCAATTGACTGACTTACGGAGCCTGTAGATGGGTGGTGACATGCCAGCTCCCTGGCAATGGTCAAGCCGGAGAAACCCTGCCAGGTGACAGGGCCCTCATGGCCTCCCTGGGCCGCATCCAAGGCTGGAGACCCTAAAACTATAAAACCACTGCTGCCCTTCTGGTCCCTCCTCCACCTCTAAGCCTGCTGTTTCCAGTTTGCCAAGGTGTGGTTGTTATAGCAATGCCAACCCCACCTGCCCTGGAGGGCTGCAGTGTTGGAGTGACCCTGCTCCATGCTAACGACTTAGCCCTCGCCCCACCGGGGAGTATCAGCTCATTAGGCACCTTGGGCTGTCATGGACCAGTATCACTCTGGGTGGTAATTAGCCGCATCTGCAGCCCAAGTTGCCTAATGCAAAGCGGAAGGGATGTTTTCTTTCTTTTGGCAGCTCTGGCTTAACCATCCTCCTTCCGAAATGGAGGGACTGCTCTGGGCTGTTTTTTCGCCACCTCCTCCCTTTTCTCCCCTTCCCTGGAATCAAACTTTGAATTTAAAGAGGAAGGCTTCGATAATGTTGGAGAAGGTTCTGTATGAAGAGATCAATACTTATAAAATCCACTGCTGTTGAGTCGATTCCAACTCATAGCGACCCTACAGGACAGAGTAGAACTGCTCCACAGGGTTTCCAAGGAGCGGTTGATGAATTCAAACTGCCGACCTTTTGGTTAGCAGCCAAAGCACTTAACTGCTGCACCATCAGGGTTCTTCAATACTTACAGGGGTGATTATTTTAGCCCTTTTCCTCCCCATGACTCCAATCCCTGGGCCACCCACATGGACTTCCAGAAAGTTCTCTTCCAAATGCATTCCGAAGCCCTTCCCAGGCTCTATGCCCTGCCCTCGGAGGGCCAGGAAATGCCCAGGGGCCCACGGATTAGAGGCTGAGAGGGCCCTGCAGCACTGTAGAGGGAAGCTTCTCACGGGTGCGTGGGGAGAGGGCTGCAGAGGAAACTGAACTTCAGCTCGTTTCCCTGCCTGCCCCCTTGTCCCCTCTCATTCATTCCACAAATATGTATTGAGGGTCTATCGAGTGTCATGTATTTTTTGGGGAACTAGAGAGACAAAATAAAACCAACCCCTGCTTTGGAGCTTATATTCTAGTGGGGGTGAGGCCAACAATAAATGATTAAACATTTATGTCAGAGGATGATAACAATGCTACTGAGAGGGGAGGGTCCTATTAGAGACAGGTTATCAGGGAGGCCTCAGAGATCAGTGAAGTCACACATTGGAGAGGAGACCTAGATTAACTGAGAGAGGAAGCCATCTGGGGGAAGAGCATTCCAGACAAAGGCCTGAGGTGGGAACGTGTTTGTCTGGTTTGAGATACAGGAGGTAAGCAGCAGGGGTCAGTGGTTGAGATGAGGCTGTGTCAGGATTTAGGGGTCGAAGCGAAGCCTTTGGATTTTATTCTGAGGAAGATGGGCAATCACTAAAAGGTTCTGAGCGGAGGACGGATCTGGCTTAACCCCCTTGTTCCCTCAAGCATCTCTCTCCTCCCTGAGAAGAGAGAAGATGGGCCTTAAAGAGGGACAAATGTAGGTATATGTACATGAAACTTTATGTGAGCACTTAGAAAAGGGAATTGATGGATGTCAGGGATGGTGGTGGTTCCCTCTGGAGAGGGGAGCAGGTGGGGAGAGGGGAGGATAGGGAAGGGGGAGACTCATGGGGAAGGGCCTTTCATATGTTCCCTTCTATACTCATGCATTGAATAGGTAACACTGAGAATTACTTGATCTTTAAAAAATAAAGTAATAGCAGCAAAAATAAAATAGAAACTTTGAGCACTCAAGTGTACCTGAGGAAGAGGACATTTCTACTGTGCCATCTGCTGGGAGGGTCTGTAATTATGTTGTCTAAATAATCTATGGCACCGCCCCACCCTGATATTACACAGTGGTGGGGATGTGCCAAAGAGGCCTCAGGAGTGGGTGGTGGACTTCAGGCTCTCACGGGATGGCTTTGACTGGTGAGAATTGCCTTTCTGGAGGTCACACTCCCTCTGCAGGGCAATCTCCCCAATGGCTTATGAAGGTTAAGGGTCCAGCCCCCTTGCCCTAACTCCAGACATCTCTGAAGGATCAATTCAGCTTCAGAACTCTCTAGAGGGTTGGCCGATGCCCCGGGGGAGAACGCATGGTGGCTCTCCTTCTCCCAACTCTGCTTCCTCCGCTTCACTGGAGTCTATCCCAAGGATCTTCACAACAAACCCCCTGCACGTTAATGCTAATCTTCATCTCAGAGGGGCTTCCTGGAACCCCCTGCAACATCACCCTCTGGGAACCCTCTTGTTGCAAGGCCAACAGCCCCCACCTAGGCCAGAGGTGCCAGGTAGGCCTTACCTTGTCCTCCCTGTGGAAGGCCAGGCAGGATGCCCAGCTCACTCCCCGGATGTAGGCGGTTGCCATCTTGAGAATATCCAACCTGAAGGGCTGCTCAATGAAAACAATGTAGTTCTCGGTGATGCCAAAACTATGGTAGTAGCTTGGGGAAAGCAGGGAGCGGGAGGGAATGGAGCAGAACACCTCTGTGTGCTTCAAGCAGCTGTTCTCCTTCTTCTTGTCCTCTAGAGAAAATCAATCCTTAGGAACAGTACAGAGGCCTGGCTGCCCCTGCCCCCACAACACCACCACCACCTACAGCTAAGCTTTTCAAACTCATGCTGCTGCTAAGAAGTAAGAGTGAACAGGTAGACCAGATAAAAGAGGACAGAGGCTCAGAGATCTTCTCATCCAGTGCTCATCTGTAATTGGAAAACCACTGAACCACAGTTAGGTCTCTAGGCCAGGGTCAGCAGACTATAGCCCAGGGGCCACATACAGCTCTCCACCTGCTTTTGTAAATAAAGTTTTATTGTAACATATGCCTCTCTATGGCTGCTTTTGATTTTGAGCTATGATGACAGAGTTGAGTAGGTATGACAGACCCTATGGTCTGCAAAACTTCAAATATTTACAACCTGGCCCGTTACTGAAAAATTTGCAGACCCCTGCTCTAGAGTAGTGCTTCTGAAATATTGATGTGCATATGAATCACCTGGGGAGCGTGTTAAAACATGGAGTCTGATTCAGTATGCTGAGGCGGGGACTGAGATTCTGCATTTCTATCAAGTTCCCAGGTGATGGCCAAGCATCCCAGATTAAACTCTGATATTTCACTGGGAACAGTTTGACAGATATTTCATAGGGTTTCCATGAATTTATCTTGGCACTGCCCATTCTGAAAGGCTTGGGATTAGGATTAAGTACCTATTGTAATGAGGGGCTTTTTAATATATCTTGACAACCAAGGTAGGCTTTATGATCTCCGTTTTACAGATGGGAAACTGAAGGCTGGTGGATGGTCTCTAACTATGCCAAAGTCACAGAGTTAAGCCAAGAAGACACACCCCCTTAACCTTGGCTTCCTCCTCTGTTCTTAGTGATTATGCTACTCATAGAGTCAAGGTATAGAAGAGAACAAAATACTGTGTAGTTCAAGTACCTGCCTAGTGTCCAGAACACCGAGAGTGCTTAATACGTGTTCGTTTTGCTTATTCTTATGCAAGGATGAGTCAATCACTGACCAAAAGGCCTCCCCACCCAGGCCTGGGGCTGGCTTATAATGAGTTGTCTGCAAGCCTCCCAGCCTTTCTTGTGGCCACCTGTGTGCACTGGTAAACAGCTGACTGGTGGGAGGGCTGCTGTGGGGTTGTAGGATGGCTCTTTTCTTCACAAAACAAACGAGCACAATGCACCTTGCAATGGAAAGCACCCAGACCTGGGAGGCAGGAGGCCTATGGGAATCCAGTGCAGCCCCAGCCCAGAGCTTCTGCTCAGAGGGTAGCTGCTTGAGAGATGTCAGCAGCCCCTGTAAGCTGCGTCACTGTGGGCATGTCACCTGATTTCCCAGGCCTCAGTCACTGTCCTCCTCAGTAAAATGCGATGGCAAACTCAAATGCCTAGGTCATCCCCAGCTCTGCTGTTCTAGGTTTTGAGTTAGACCCTATCCTTCCCTTATTGGCTTAATTAATGGGAGTTCCATGTAACAAGAATTGCCTGAGTGTCTGCCAGACACTCGTTGTACCTTCTGACCTTGGGGGCTGGCACAACCCAGCAGAGTCTGGAAATTTGCTCAGGAGATTCTACTGAACTGGGGACCACAAATGGAAACCTGTTTTCCTAAGACAGGAGGCAGGTCAAGCACCCTGTGGTTCTGCACTCTGTCTCTGGGGTTCTGCGCTCTGTCTCTGTGGTTCTGCTCTCTGTCTCTGGGGTTCTTTGCTGCCTGCCTTCAGAAGTCTTGTCTCCTGGGTGTGGCTCCCAGGAGAGTCCAGGACAAACATGGCCTAGGAGCCCTGCCCTCCCCGCTTCCCACAGGAACGTGTAATTGGCCTGGGCTGTGGTCCAGGATCTTGGCCCTAAATGGAGACGGTCCAGGAGGCCTGGAGAACAGGATGGGGATCTGGAATGTATCCCAGCAGGGCTAAGCTCCCTGAGCAGCCCTGGGAGTCTGGCTTCAGGGGCTGGGGATGAAAGTGGGTGGCACAACCCTGGCATATGAAGGTTTGTCAGAAGACTGAAGAAATAAATGAATGGATGGATGGATAAATGGATGAGTGAATGAGTGGATGGATGGATGGATGGATGGATGGATGGATGGATGGATGGGTGGATGGATGGATGGATGGATGGATAAATTAATGAATGGATGGACTGGAGGCTAAAGAAAAGGAGATTAGAACAGAAAACAGATTCCTTCCTTCTGCCTTCCCCAAAGGAAGTCCAGCAATTCCTCTTTTCTTCTAAATGAGAATACTGAATTTATGATGATCTGAATAACATATGGAGGAAAGTGTCAGATTGAGTCTGCAGAAGACTCCATCCTTGTCCATTTGTGCCTCCTGATATCCCCCAGAGGACAAGCATTTGGATGGTGCCTACCTGGTACTGTGGCAGGGATCTTAAATATTACATATTTTGTCTTCCCCTTGTCCACAATGGATGTGCCCATGTTGAGAACGTTTCCAGCTGCATCATAATGAGGATGCGCTGTTGCCAGATTTACAGCCACGTATTTACGATAGTCAACCTGCAAAATATGACAGCCACTTGGTTTAGAAAGGGGAGGGGTGATATCCTGTGAAAACCTGACTTATTCTAGGTTCAGAGAGATAATGGATATTTTCATACAACCCCTGACCGAAAAATAAAACAGAATTTGTCTTGAAAGAGGACATTTACTCTTGCGACCTGAGATAACTTCACAAGGCACCTCCTACAGCAAACAGGTTGCAGGAGGGTAGTGAGCTGGGTGTGTTTTTGTGGCAGTTGTTCCAATTCTGCTGCCTGGCCCAGCTGGGCGTCCTCAGCACTGGAGACAGGAGACCTGACTGCAGAAAGCTCTAGCAATGGCCTGAGTGGAGGAGTGGCCTTAGAGATAACCTTGGCTGCTGCTCTGGGCCATTCTGTTTAAGTCACTTAAGTTTTCCCCTCCTGAATTCCACAGAGGCATAAATCACCAGCCCTCTCTGATAGGATTATTCTGGGAATGGAGAGGTTACAAAAACATTTGGCAAGAGTGAAACTCAATGAACAAGGTGAATGATGATCCCTTCCTCCGAAAAGGCCCTAGAACAATTGGGTGGCCGGCGACCAGCTGTCCACCCTTCCTCGCCTAGAATAGCTGAGCCTCCAGCCAAGTGTCAGGTAATTCTCCACTCTCTCCCAGTATTTACTGTCCGTCACTTTGTAGACAATGTACATCAGTTGGATCTATGCTGCCTAGCTTAAAAGGAGCTGGACAAATTTCACAGCTAAGAAAAGCACTTCCTCTAAGAGATCTGTAAAATGTACTGTGAAGACATCAGGGCTTTGAAGAGCCAGCTGGAGAAAACTGAAAGTGGGTCTATTGATTTTCAAGAAAATGGTGACTTGATTCTCCTAGGAAAGGTATCTGCTTGGGCATTTATTTTTGTGCCCTTGCTCTCTGCCTAATGCCTCCCTCTTCAGGTTAATACAGGTAGGGCTGCTGGTAATCATGGGCGTTCAGGCAATCATTCATTCAAATTCTCGTTGAGCTCCTACTCGGTGCCAAGAACCACGGACACAAAGATGAAAAGGACACAGTCCCTGCCCTACAGGGTCTTAGAATCTAGTGCTCAGTGCTGTGCTATGGGAAGCCCAGGATCCGATGGAATTAGAAGAGGGGGCTCCCCCAGTAAGCCCCTGCATACCAAGAGGTTCTCACTCAGTGGGCCCTTTCTTGAGTCAGGAAGTGATGGTGGTTATAGATTTAATGATACCTTCTCCAGGGTTTCCAGAGTCTGTGGGTTGATTCTCCTGATGTAATTGGTCTCTGTGGTCGCATAGAAATCTTCTCCACACTTTATGATGTTAATAAGGCAGTTGTCTGTGAAATCCGGGATGGTGTGGGACAAATAGGAGAAAGCTCTAGGGAAAAAAGCAAATCAAAGGGTCAGTGACTGTGTTCACCAGTTGGAAAGTTCTGACCTAGATGGCCTTATCTTCCTACCACATAAAACACTTTACTTCAGTTAAAGGAGAAAAATACTGGCTCCCAATGGGCTATTTAAGGAATCCTGAGGACTTAGATGTCAAGTTGCCCAAAGATACCATGTTGAGTCAGCTAAGAAGTGAGTCAGCTGGGACAAAACAGCAGCCAAATGATCCCTCCCAGGCTCTCAAAAATCCAAAGATCTATAACACCTACAGCCAGTAGGAGCTGGTAGATTGTTCTGAAGTATTTCAAGAAGTCTACAGAAATCATACATATACCATAATGGCCCCCAAGACTAGCAAAACAGCCAATCCCAGCTGTGGTCAGGAAGGTGAGTCCACACTGATTTCTTCAAATTTGTCAAGGCAATTAGCACAAAACAAAACAAAAATTGGAAAACAAGCTTCCAAAACCAAGCGTATGAGTTCTTAATTCATAATTAGTTTGATTAGAAGGCAAACTCAAAGCAGGAAGAAAGAAAAATCAAAGGAGTTATCGGTGGTGAAGTGAAGTTGGCAAATACTGGGTCCGTGTATTGGCTAGTGCTCCCCCTACTGACAAATAGTGTAGCAGCGAGGATGCCCCACAGATGTGATTTTACATTCTTTCCCTCTCTCCCTTTAACCTCTTCCACTCTGCCTCCTCCCCCTCTACAAATATGAGTTCATGACCCCCTCTGTGCCAGCTCTAGCACTGGACCCGAAACTAGAGAGACGATGTCAGTTCTGGAAAAGCAGAAGGGATCTTCCAGCACCTGCCCACTGAGGGCACACCTGATCCCCTAGCCAATAATTTAATTGTTGAATACATAATACATTCATATGCATCATAATCCAGATGATTTAAAATGTAGACAGCTAAAAATCTCCTCCCATTCTTGTATCCCAAATGTTTCCCATTTCCTCAATGGATCTTTGCAGAGTTTATACATGTACAAGCAAAAACCTAGGTTTCCTCCTCCTTTTTTACACAAAATATAGCCTACTACATGCTTTCTGCATCTTCCTTTTTCTCCCCCACTTCACAATATATCTTGGAAATCTTTCCATACAGTGCATAGAGAACATCCTCATTCTTGTTTACTTCTGCCTGGTATTCTCTTGTATGGTTTTACTATTCTTTATTTGTCCAGTCCCCTGTTGATGGACATTTGGGTTATTTCCAGCTTCTTGTTATTACAAATAATACAGCCACGAATTGCTTTGAACATTGGTCATTTCAGACATGAGCAAGTATATCTCAAGGCCAAAGGGGATGTGCATTTGTAATTTTGTTAGACAATTCCATATTGCCATCCCACCAGCTGTGTGGAAGAGCATCTCTTGAGCTCTGGTGGTGCAGTGGTTAAGCACTTGCCTGCTAACGGAGAAGTGCGTGGTTCGAACCCACTAGCCACTCTGCAGAAGAGAGATTGTGGCAGTCTGCCTCTGCAAAGATTTACAGCATTGGAAAGCCTGTGGAGGCAGTTCTACTCTGTCCTATATGGTCACTATGTGTTGAAATCCACGGCAACAGGTTTGGTTTCGGTTTTATTTGCCTCTCTTGCTAGCAGTGATCAAGAACTGCATAGCATATGTGACCTAAGGCTAGTCATACGCAGCTTTTCATCCACCCTAGAGAGAACTGTCAGAGCGGCCAATGCTAGTTGCTTTGACCATCAAGAATATCGAAAAGCACAACCAGATTCAAAATGGGCAGTTACTTGGAAAATATGTTTTTGCAAGGGTCTGGATAGGCCATTGTTCCAAATTCCGACACCACAATCCTGTTTGCCTCGATATTGGAGGTGTAGGTATCACTTCTCAGGTATTTGCTCCTGTAGTACACTTCACCTGAAAGAGAAGAAGCAGCATACTCTCAGGCTGACATCTCTGCAGGGCTTTAAATTCTATTTCAGCCGTTCCGGGTTTTTTTTGGGGGTGGGGTGGGGGTGGGGAGTGGGGTTAAGGGACAGTCTTCTTTAACACATGCTTCCGATACAACTAGCATTTGTGTGTGCTTTTAGGACATCTAACTTGAGACACATAGGAGTGTGGCAAGGTAAGGATTCCTGTTCTTAGCTTTATATATGAGGGAACTCAGGCTCAGAAATCTTCAGTCACCTCACCCAGTGCCGCCCAGTGGAGAGGCATTGAACCAGTCCATTGACTTCTGTTCCACCATATTGGTGTCCCTCCAGGTGAAGTCCAGATTTGCAGCACTGGTCCAGAAGTCTGCATGCTTGAGCTAGGTTTCCCCAGGCACCCCTCTGATCCTCGGAGCCCTGCCTTCAGACCCTAGTTGACAATTGCAGCCCACTGGAGTAAGATTAAAGAACGCTGGTGGTGCGGTGGTTAAAGTACTTGGCTGCGAACAAGAAAGTCGGCTGTTCAAACCCACCAGCCGCTCTGAGGGAGAAAGACGTGGCAGTCTGCTTCCATAAAGATTTACAGCCTTGGAAACCCTATGGGACAGTTCTACTCTGTCCTATAGGGTTGCCATGAGTTGGAATCAACTGGATGGCAGTGGGTTTGGTTTGGTTTGGGGAGCAACATTTGACATCTACTACCACCAGGGGGTGACCTAACCCCCAAGTCTGTGTACAATGGAGAGTCAGTCCAAGTATACCTACACCTTTGGGGTTAGCCAGGCCTTGGGTTCATGCATTCAATAAGTATGTATTAAACACAATGATGGGCCAGGAAATGTGGGTACAATAGTGAGCAGAACGGGAACGGTCCCTACCCCTAACGAGATTAAAGTCTCCATGTGGATCTGAATCTTGCTTTAAGTATTCATAAATTGTCTTCATGGATTGTCTACCAGCCATGTGTTTGCTCTTGTGTCAGGGGCAAGCCTCAGTCCTCTCTCCTGCAATATGAGGATTATAATACTCTCTTATGGAGTTGCTGTGACCTTTAAGGCTTGTAACGTGCTTACATTGAAATGGAGTGACACAGTAGCAGCAACAATGGACTCAAACATCCCAACGATGATGAAGATGGTGCAGAACCTGGCAACATTTCCTAATGGTTATACGTAAGGTCACCATGAGTCGAAACTGACTCAATGGCAACAACCACCGCCAACAGCAAAGGTGCTTAGCACATAGTAAGTGCTCAATAAAAGTTACATGTAATACTAAGATATGATAGACATGGTGGTCAAAGCTTTTGGCTCTGAGATTAGTCAGAATCCATGCTTTCTAAGCTGTGTGGTCTTGAGTAAGTCTCCTAATTTCATTGCACTTCAGTTTCCTCATCTAGAAATTGGGAGTCACATATTCCACCCCCTCATAGGGTTGGGAGTTTTAAGTGAGATGATGGAAGGTGTATAGCCCATTGCCTGGCACACAGGATGCCCTTGATAGGTGAAGTCTGCTATAATTCTGGATTGCCCAGAAAATCCTGGCATTGGGAAGGCTCTCCTGGGGGTCTTTGAGGCCATGCAGACACTCGTCATAGGGCCATCCTGGTCTCCCCTGTGCCAGCCTGTCCTTTGCTGGTCATGTTCGGAAGGACACCACCTACCAGGCACTGACTGAGGTTCTTTGAGCCCTGTGAGCACTTTGCCTGAAATGCTCTGTTCTGTTCATTTGAAATGTAAATACTCAGCCCAGGCTGGGTTGTGAACAGGCAGCCTATTTCCTATATACAATCAGCCACAGAGCACAGAGCTTCCGGGGACCACGGGAAAATGTGTCTCTGGAATTGCTCAAGGCAGATGCTTGACTTTGAGGTTGAGATTAAAGGGGGAGCATGGCACATTCCCTACCACCCTGAGCGGGGGAGCCCACTTAGCCATATTCCTTCTGAAGGGACCCAAGTAAACAGAAGTGATACTGCCTGGGATCTCGTAGAACTGGGGCAAGTTGGATATTTTTTAGGGGGGAAGAGGGGAGATATTTATCTGAAAAACAAACAAACAAACAAACTTTCTAAAAGACTACTTTGGAACTACCAGAGATGAAAAACACCAGCTTTGGAAAGGCAAAGTTCTCAAGAGCTCATTTGCTCTGAACCACAGTGACTCTGGCCCTTGGAATTTACATGTTCAAATTCTCGTAGGACACGTGCCACAACTTTGCCTCTCATTAGAAAATTATCGAAGATCATTTTCTGAGAGAGGCCTGGGCTCACTAATCTTGATGCCTACTTTTAAAAGAAACTTTTTATTTCAAAATAATTTTAGACTTACAGAAGAGACTTACAGATAAGGGAGTTCCTGTATACCCTTCACTTAGCTTCCCCTTCTCCATCCTGTCTCTTTCGTTCATTTTGCAAAAGAACTTGCCACCTTGCCAAAGAACCTTAACCACCTTTCTAGGAAGGTTTGTGCTGGTGGTAGGCTAAATAATGGTCCTCAACCAATGTGCACATCCTAAGCCCCAGAACATGTGAATATGCTAGCTTACATGACAAAAGGGACTTTGCAGATGTGGTTAACGATTTTGAGATGGGAGACTAGCCTGGATTATGCAGGTGGGCCCAATGTAATCACAAGGTTCCTTATAAGAGGGAGGCAGGAAGGTCAGAGGCAGGGAAGGAAAGATGATGACAGAGGCAGAGAGAAAGAGAGATTGGAAGCTGTTATGTTGCTAGCTTTGAAGACGAAGATGGGGCCATGAGCCAAGGAATGTAGGTGGCCTCTAGAAGCTAGAAAAAATAAGGAAATGGATTCGCCTCTAGAGCCTCCAGAAGAAATATAGCTCTGCCAACCTGTGTTAGACTTCTGACCTTAGAGCTATAAGAGAATAAATTTATGTTGTTTTAAGCTACTAAGTTTGTAGTAACTTGTTACAACAGCAACAGGAAATTTCACACAGTGCTCTTACTGTCTCTAATTGTGAAGCTGTGGATCAAGGCCAGGCCATCAAACCAGTGGTTGTACTTGGTCTCCCCCACCGTGTGCATCCCAGGCCCATTCCGAAGCAGGGTTCCCTGCAGCCATGTTGGAATCTTGCCTGTTAAGAGACAGAATGCTTAGTTTCCAGTTTACAGGTCTAAACCAAAAAGCTAGAAGAAATGGCCATGTAATTAAGGCCACATAGTTTCACATCTGTCAAGTAGGGAGGCTCAGCCTAGAGCAGTCGTAATCAAACTTGGAATCACCCGGAAGGTGAAAACACGGATTTGCCAGGCTCCACTCCAGAGTATCTGATTCAGTGTTGGTGGAGTGGGGCCCGGGAATTTGTGTTTCTAACAAGCTCCCAGGTGATACTGATGCCACGGATCGCAGTTCTACTCTGACACACGTGGGGTCACCATGAGTTGGAATCAACTCCATGGCAATGATTTATGTATATATATATATATATGTATTTTTTTTTCCCTTCTGATTACAGGTATACAAAAATGCACATTACCTTTGTAATCAGAAAAAAAATTCAAGGCAATTCTTCAGTTGAAAAGTTCCAATCTGCCTTTCCTTCCAAAGAACACTCACTGTTGTCCTCCTCTTGTGAAAAACATCCAGCCCAACAACCGGAAGATGAAAACACCCAGGTGCCATCTCATCGCTGCAGCCTGGCCTGACCCATTAGCCATTCTCAGAACACTGAGCAAATGCCACTAAGACACTGGGTGCCTGAGGGTTCAGACCCAGCCACTGCCCTTTAGAGTCTAAACAAGATGTTGTCAGGAAAGTGGCACCCCTCAAAAGAGGAGGAGAAATAACAGATGAAGAAAACGAGATACCAAGCTCCCTAAGGATTGTTCCTGAAAAGAATACCTCTCTGTGCCTGTTTTATTGACTTTGCAGGTACTCACATGCTGAAATCACACCCATGGGCACTGGAAAGAAAATGACTTTGGAGCCAGTAATGCCCTCCAAGTGTGCATGTGCATAAGTGGGACCTCATGCACACTTCTCTTTCCATTTTGAGGTTAATTCAGGATACATTTGCGCAAATATATCATGCATTTGGCATAGGCAACATTTTGCAGTATAATTCTATTTTAAATATGTATTATATTTTATACATAAATATATTGTAATATAAAATATATTAATTATATTGTATATTTACATATTTTAAATATATATATATATAGTTGTTGTTGTTGGGTGCCATTAAGTTGATCCTGACCCATAGTGATCCCATGTGATAGAGTAGAACTGCCATATAGGGTTTCCTAGGCTGTCATCTTTACAGAAGCAGATTACCAGGTCTTTTCCCGTGGGGCCGCTGGGTAGGTTCAAACTACCAGCCTTATGGTTAGCAGCTGTTTGCAACACCAGGGCTCCTATATAAACACATATATACGTATACATATATATACATGTATATATATACATATGTATGTGTATATATACATACATGCACACCCCAGTTGGAGCATTCCTGGAACTTTTCTTCTAGAAATAGTGAGGACGACTCTCTCTTTGTACATGGTGAGTTAATGTATATTAGTACACCTAGATTTTCACAGAGAATGTATTTTTTCTATGTACTGTTTTCCAGATTTTCTAAAAAAAAATTACAATAAATATTACTTTCACAATCAGAGAAACAGTGTACCTATAACCACGTAAGAAACACTCCATCTTTTATACAGAAGTAGTAAATGCTCACCTGTCACCTGGGTCCTCACAGGTTCCTGTTGCTCTTTCTTATTTCTGCCAAATATTATATCCATGGCGCAGGCACCAGGTGGGGGTAATTGTCACCGTGAACAGATCTCTGCAGCGTCAGAGGAACTGGTCCTGGCTCCTCCTCTCTCTCTTCTGCTTCTCTGCTGCTCCTGCCTTTACCTCCCTTTC